AGGCAAACCAAAGCTAAGTGCACATTTAGCAGTGGTTTTGTGAGCCAAGGTAAGCAAGGCACTGTGAAGACCACAGCGATTCCAGCAGCAGCAGCAGCAGGGCTGAGCCTTCCCCAGTGGATGGGTTGGATGGCTCTGCAGAGGTGGGTTGCAGGACAATCCTGCCCTTGAAGAACGACACAGCTAAAATGACAAGTGAGCTCTTGGAAGCACTTTCTTGCTGCTTCTAATCTGCAAAAGGCTCATCTTTCTTTAAAGGTTATTCTGAAGTGTGAACAACCCCAAGCTCAGCAAGGCTGCAAGTCCAGCACAGGAAGGCAAGTGTGGATTTTAGTTTTGTCAAGCCCCGGTATAGGCAGAGACCTCCTTCATTCCCAAGGGAAGGGGTGCTAAAATCCAGCTCTTCACAATTAGGCTCACGCAGTCCAAGTGCAGCCCAGGTGCAGCAGCCCTGCGGATCCAGAGATAAGGCTGCAGTGACGGCTGCATTTGCATCAACACTACAGAGGCAGAACAAAAAAACTCTGTTGTTGAACAGGAAACACCATGCAGGCTTTTGTCTGGGTAACCGAAAACTCCAGCTTTGGGAATGTAAACTTACCTGGCAGGCTGATCACCATCTCCTGACTGCTTTTCCTTTTTTAATTCATTATTGTAATTCATTATTTAATTCATTATTAACGAAGAAAGGCCCCAGGTGAGCCGAACACACACCATGCACCGGCCAGACACGTATTGTCCTTGCAGTGAGTGCTGCCAAGCCAGGAGGCGATAACATTGGGAATGGGCTCGTTTCTGCCAAGAGCTCTGTGGAAGGGGATGTTGCAGTGGAAAAAGCTGCCCCAAGTGCTGCGTGTATGCTGCAATTCCCCACAGCCTTCAACTTGGGTTGCATCAGTCTAGACAGCAGTCTGAGACTGCCAGGCATTTTTTTTATCCACATGCTTGCTCCCTTCATTGCATCTCTGACGAGCTATTTTATGTACTATTACATGTTTTATAAGAGCGAAGTTCAGATCTAGACTAGGATCCAAATTTTTGCAAAGCTCCTTCAGGTTAGAGGGTCCAGCATGGCTCAGCATAAAGACACGGGTCAGTGGCAAGGATGAGAAGCAGAACCTGTTCGTGAGCTCTTGCTGCCACGGAGAGTGTGACATCCAGGATCTGAAAGGTCTTGCTGAACAGCAATCTGGCCAGTTCAACGTGCTCAAGGTACCAAGCAAGAATTTCTCCAAGCCACCATTGGCTTCCCATCAAAAAAAAGTCCTCAAATGCCGGTGCCCAGTTTCGTGACAAAACCATGGCATTATCAGCGCATGCCACTATCTGATCTTAGCCATAAAAACCTTGCTACAAATCTAGCAGTATTTCTGAAATAGTAGCTACAATGTGCTATTACTAAGTTCAGTTAAGTAGTATACTTAGTTTAAAGCATGCCCACCCAGAGTTCCGCGCACATTAATGGCATCAGTTGCTTCAAGCAATTGCCTAGTGTTACACCCCTCGCTATTGAGGTTATTTCCACAATAGTAATTAAACCCTCATTAACAATTTTCAATTATAAAGTAAATCAAATGCAATAGTCTACACAAGGAATATTATCTAAATCTTCTCTATAATCCTGAGGTCAACACAGGAAGAAGGTTCAACTGGGCTTGAAGACTGCTTGCAAACCTCTGGTCCAACCACTGACCCTAGCCCAGGAGCAGAAATAGCAAGTACACACCAGGCAGCAGACCAGGAGCAAAACACTGTGTTGGTCATTGGGTATACAGTTAATTTGCCCTGTTAATTAACTTCTGATTTCTTCAATATATCCTTCCCAGCATGCCTCCTGGCCTGAGGTGAAGGTGCAGTGAACAGGGAACCTGGTGACTGAAGTCTTCTGATTTTTTTCTGGTAATTTTGTTTTGTTCAATAAAGCATAAAGAGCAGTTGTTCATACACAAAAGCTCAGCAGTCACTGTCCTCAGCCCACCAGTCACTCCAGAGACATCCAACTCAGGTGAGCATTGGATTTCTCATCACCCTAACTCCTCACAGCCTGAGACATCTACCATCTGACACGTGTTAGCGTCCTCTCGTGCAGATTGCACCTCCTCTAACTCTCACCTGAGGATGCCAAGCAGCTTTGCCCAGAGGCTCTTCAGCATGGGGAAGGATTTGTCCCCGGTCGCACTCACCCCTGGGGAGATCCCTTCTGCCCAGCCCTTCTGCCGCCTTAACGCCTCCACCAGTTACTGCAGACAAGTCCTGTCAGTCTGATAATGAAACCACCAGTGCCATGGGCCATGGCTGTATTTCAAATCCATAAATCCTTCCTTACTCTTGAAATCAATCGGGTTTCTCTTCAAGATACTAACACAGGCAAATCTACCACCACTCCCAACTCCCCAGCCCCAGCGCTCCTCTGAACTTCCCCCAAATCTCTACCACATGAATCAACGCAAAGGCAGACCTGGCACGCCTCTCCGGCCCCGCACCAGCAGGCAGTGAGGTCCTCATCTCAATCCTGGCCCCAGGTGCTGGTCCCGAGAGCAGCTTCTCATATAGTCCCAGTGAGACGGGCTTCTCCATGACTGTCCCTTCTTAGCTGCAGGGCGGGATGTCACCTGTACAGCTCCAGAGCTTCTACATGAGCAACGTGGAATGACCCCACTTCGCATTGTTCATTTTTCTGGAGGCTTGCAAGGTTTGGCGATTCTGTTCAGATAAGCATCCTCAAGCTTGCATGCTTATCTCAACCATCTCCCAAACAGCTTTGATCTGCAGGATTTGGCTGGAGCTCTCAAAGTTATCTTGAGAAAGCTTGTTCCTGGGAGAGTCATTCTTCTGATTAACAAGAAAAAGCTTTCTTAGGGGCTCTGAGCCGTTTTAGCGCTGGCTGGAAGTGGAGAGCACAGGAACACATGCAAACAGCAAGAACAAAAAGTTAGGAGAACTTCTTCTTAAAGCTGCTCTTGCGATCAATTCTCATCACAGCCAAAATCTGAAGGCAGTTTTTATTTCAAATGAGTTCTAATGTGGCACCTTTCTTCTTTCTCACTCTCCATCTAAGTCTACCTTGCTCAGCCCAGCACCGAGGTGGTCAGTATAGGTGCTGCTTGTAAACAGAGATTCACAATTCGTGTTTACCCATGGCTTTACATACTCCAGACTCTATGCAAGACACTCGCGAGGAAAATTGGCTGCACTGATGAGGAAACCAAATCACAGAGAGACTAGAACTGTCACAGCAAGGAGGGAACAAACTTTACGGGGAGGTCTCTCACTCTAGAACATATTTTAAAAGACACAGTATTAAATCATGTTGGCTTTGCTGAAACAAATAGTCCCTCTCAAAAACTCTGGTGAAGGAAACACAAGCCACGCATGCATGTTAATGGAGCCATATTCTAATTTTCCGGTTAACCTTCTCTTTGGCCAAAGCTTTAGAAAATGTTTGTTAGACTGAGAAGTGTCTGATTTAACTCCTGCTCTTGAAAAACTTCAGCATTTCCCCACTTTGAGCCCAGCACCTCACATAAAAAGGATTTGTTTCATTTGGGAGCAATTAAGGAGAAGAAAGAAGATGGCATTGCAGAAAAGGAGGAATTACTGACTCAGCAGTGAAATTGGCCATGAGAAACTACTCCAAACACATCCATCCTGCTGCCCTCACCTAGAAGAGAAATGTTCATTAAAAATACTATTCAGCAAGAGAAAAGAAGTATGAACAGCAAAAAAAAATGTACATGTGTTTTAAATAATTTTTTTAATTGTTGAGGCAGTAATACTTGGTTCATGGAACTGCAATATACAGAGAGGTGAAATAAATAGCTTATATATATATAATATATATAATATAGCTGGTTTTAAAATATTCCCTTATCATTGGTGTACTAGGTCATTTTGTAGTCACTTGAATGTATTTAGCAGCATTCTCCAGAACTGAGCATAATGCAGGATCACAGAGCCGTGACACCTTATGTCGTCAAAAAGGTTACAGAAGATCGATGCGTTGAGAACTCCACGGAAACTCAATCACTGCGGCACACACCATCTTGTCTCGGTCCAGCTTGCAGCAGACAATAAATAGATTACTGCAAAACTGGCACGTTTCAGGGCAAGGTCTCAGTAACTTTGGGAAAGAACTTTGGTTTTCTTTGGTTTTATTTTTTTTATTTTTAATAATTACTTTTTCCTCTGGGGATATGCTTGAAAAGTTGTCCTTTCCAAAAAGAGAAATAAGCACCTGTGTGTCATCAACAACAAGAAGTCAATTTAAATAGAGCAGTTCGTTTTGTTTTTTTTCAAGTCACAATAAATCCCTAACAGCTTTTCCCCAGCGTTTGCCATCTAGTCTTTTATTAATTTTTTTATTTTTATTTTTTTTAAACACAATGTACAAAAATAGAGCTTCTTCCTTATTTTTAATGTAAAAATATTCCTCTGGTGCAGTTTTTTGTGGTTTATTATTGTGACATTGTTTTTGTCTATTTTTAACTGGGGTTGGTGGGTCGTATTCTCTTAGTCCTCTTGGTGACTGTTGTGTACTTGAAAGGTTTCTGTATCTCCACTTGACCCTTTGGGTACCTCTTCATAAAATGCACATCTTGCTGGTTTTCCCGGGTCTTGGGCCCTTTCCGTGGCCTTCCTTTTTTGGTGAATCCCACATACCAGCCTGAATACTTTGCTGACATCAGTGCTGTATAGTTGTTTTCGAGGACTTTTTCAATGAAGACACACTCCTTGCTGGTGCCATCAGGCTGAAAAAGGAGGGGAAAAAAAAAAAAAACCATTATCGAAATGTTAACCCAACGACAAAAATTCAGCTTGGCATAAATAAATATTCACATGAGGAGCTGGCTGTTGGTTCCAACGTTTTAATAGAAGCAGAAAGAAACATCAGCTGAAACAGAAATGAAACTTTTTCTTTCCCCATACACTCCTATCCAAAGAGAGAAAGATTTTTCGAGCTTCTTCCTTATTTTTAATGTAAAAATATTCCTCTGGTGCAGTTTTTTGTGGTTTATTATTGTGACATTGTTTTTGTCTATTTTTAACTGGGGTTGGTGGGTCGTATTCTCTTAGTCCTCTTGGTGACTGTTGTGTACTTGAAAGGTTTCTGTATCTCCACTTGACCCTTTGGGTACCTCTTCATAAAATGCACATCTTGCTGGTTTTCCCGGGTCTTGGGCCCTTTCCGTGGCCTTCCTTTTTTGGTGAATCCCACATACCAGCCTGAATACTTTGCTGACATCAGTGCTGTATAGTTGTTTTCGAGGACTTTTTCAATGAAGACACACTCCTTGCTGGTGCCATCAGGCTGAAAAAGGAGGGGGGAAAAAAAAACCCATTATCGAAATGTTAACCCAATAACAAAAATTAAGCTTGGCATAAATAAATATTCACATGAGGACCTGGCTGTTGGTTCCAACATTTTAATAGAAGCAGAAAGAAACATCAGCTGAAACAGAAATGATAAGAAAAGTGCAAGAGCATCATTCAACTTTTTATTTCCCCATACGCTCCTATCCAAAGAGAGAAAGATTTTTCAAAGATAAACAATGCCCAGCTCCATCAACAGCAAAGAAAGTAAAATGTTTGGCTTGTAATTTCCACTAGGAAGGAGGGTGCAATGAATTTGTTCCAAGGAAGCATCATATTTGTAAGTGGAAGAAAAATCATCAGAAAGCCAAAACCAGCCTTTCCACTTCTATCACTACTTCTGATGAATTTTCAAACACACCTTTGGGCCTAGTGCGCTTATCTCCAACCCCTGCTAAGACCATTTCAAGCCTCCAAGAGTCCAAGTCAACAGGGTGCTCTGGAAACACTCTTCCTCAGGCAGGGGCCTGGAAGCAGCCATGGGTGCTAAGGATCTTGAGCCTCCTGGTGGGTCTCTGGGACCGAACCCAGCCAGGGCTTTAGGAGCAGGAACTCTGTGGCTGGCGGTGGCTACGTAAGCACCAAAGATCCAAAGATCAAGCTTCTGCTTTTCTGGGGCTGTTCTTCGTTTGAAGGAGACTTGATGATGGTGGCAGAGGGGAAACGATGCTTCCCCCTTCCCTACCTCTCAATGCTGGCCCAAAATCAGACACCCAAAGGCCCCAGCGTAGGAGAGCACATCTCCGCACAATGCTCCTCCTCATGGAGGGAGCAGGGAATCCATCTCCTCTGCTCACTCCAGGACCACAGACTGCCTATGCAGGTGCTGATGGGGTGGACATTGCAGCAAAATGGCTTCAGGTCAAGGAGATCCTGAGCTCAGAGGAGGTGCCAGAGGGGATGAAGACCTGTTGGAGCCCCTGGGCTCCCACCTGTGCAGCTCTGGAGGAAGTTTCAGCATCGCACAAGGGCCCGCGGAGGCTCCCTGACACCAAGCAAACTCTCCTTGCCGGTGGCCTCCTGCCAGGAAACGCATCCTGCATTTGACTGCCAAGTTACTGGTGCCCAGGGCCTCCTGTGCACCAGGAGATGCCAAGGAGGAGACATGTGCCTGTGGCAGTCCCTGGACACGGGTGCAGCTCTGGGTGCTTTATGGAGCACGATACAAAGCACTGTGCCACACTTAATCTACTGCATAGCCAAGCCAGAAGGAAGATTTCCAGTATAGCATCAGTCCAGTCCAACCTCTAACTAAGAAAAACACAGGTTTTTAGTGCACTGCAGGCCTATATTTACATTTACTATCAGGTCCACTCTAGGCAGGGCTGGTGAGACCAGGAGAGCCCCACTGAACATGTCATAGCCAGGCTGGCCAAACCCTGCTCTTGCCTAAAAGCTTTGCCAGAAAGCCCTGCAAAATCCCAGTGGAGCTGCCTAGGGCTGGAGAGCCCACACATGGGGATGCAGGGCTGGAGCAGTGCAGAGCTATGGGAGCTGTTGCAGCCTCCTGGCCTGAGAGAGATCCCCCAAAACCCTGCGGAGGAGCTACAGGAGTGACTGTGGGACGTGAACCGACAGGCATGATGACACCAGCACAACTCAGGCCACAGACCTCATCCCCAGCCTCCCGAACCATGGCCTGATGCTCCCTAGGCCTCCAGCTCAACACAGTGACCAGCCATGCCAGGCCTGCGGCCTTCGCATGCTCTCCCATCAGAGGGGCTCTTAGAGGGCAGAGATCACAGCACTGACTCTGCAACAGCGAAACGAAGCACTACCACCAGGTAAAAGCCTTGGAAAAAGGTGCCAGGTCGCTTCTTTCCTCCCCAAACATGCCATGCCCAGCGCCCAGGGGTGAAGCCATAGGCCTGGCAGGCTCCATCCCTGTGTAGGCACAAAGCTCTTTGCTTCATCGCCCGCAATCTGAGGCTCACGAGTGCTTTAATGAAGGGCAGGAGCGGGCAAAGCCGAGGGGTCTTGGTTCCTGGGGGGGTCGTTCTCCGAGCCCTGGGTTTGATCAAAGCCACATGAGCGGGGAAGGGGGAAATCAGTTGACACTGCAGGGTTCCACCAGGTTTCAATGCGAGGCCATAAAAACCGCCCCAGGTTTCTCAGGGCTCAGCCCACTACAAACCTTTCACCAATAAATGGAGAATTTTTAAACAATACCATGGCTGGGTTTCAAATCCACCCAAACCCAGGTGCTGATGAGCCGACCAAATTTGTACTGCAGGGTAGCAGGTAATTGGAACGGTCATTTCCCCCATGCTTGCAGAATGGTCCTGGATCTGAGCCACGGCCTTGTTGCTAGGAGAATTTAGGCATTTTTGTGCCGTTTGGGAGGTTTCCGCTTGCACTGCAATGTCAAGTTCTCATGGAAAACGAACACTGGAATTAAAAGAAAATGTGTGTGTAGGAGGGGGAAGTTATTCTATTAATAACAAAAAAGTGTTTGCTTATACCTTCAAATCTGCCGACAGAGCCTAAGACGGAGACAGGAGGTGTAGGAATAACAAGGTGCAACTCCAGGCCAACCTCAGGGCTAATTTGAAGTAAACAAGGAGCATGAGATAAAATAACTTGGTTCTGGAAGAGGAAGAGCTAAACGATTTGATAACATGAAATTACAGCAACATTTACAAGTACTTCAAGATAAATCAGGATAAGGAATTAAACAGGTCATTCCTTCACGTGCTAAGACATGTCGGAGACAGACAAATGATTTTCAGATACTTGCAGCATGATTTTACAGCATCTGCTAGAAAGCCCAGCAGATCATAAATCATTCACACTCGTTACCTACACCATGGAGAGCTGGACCCCGGATGGTCTGTTAGGGGAAAGTGCAGTTTATGTCAATAACTTCTAAATGTTTCCTTGTTTCCACTGGGTGCCATTTGCTCAAGGCCTGATCGTGTTCCTATTTAACAGCAACAGCAAAACGACTCATTGGGCCCGTCCTCTCCCCTCGCCTGCCCTCCAGGGGGGAGAAGGACGGACGCGGCAATGGATATGATGCTCCCCAAATCCCAGGCAGAGCTGGCTTTCCTAACGTAAGGAAGATACCTGTGCTCCCTGCTCCCCTTTTCCCAAAGGATTTTAGCACAAATGTTTGCCACCGATACAAGGTCGCACCCTCTCCTGCAGACGTCAGCAGTGGGACGCTGCCAAGCTACATTTCGTACATACTTAGCTGTCAGGATGCACCTCGCGGAGCACGCGCCCTTCCAAACACAGACCTTTTCAGTTGGAAACCGTTCTGTAAAATAAACGGGAATATCTGAAAGCACAGGAGGCAGCAGGAGCCGCCTGGGTGGGCAGAGCGGGAGGACTGCCTGCAGTCCCAGCTCCCAGCCAGTCCCATAGAACAGGCCTGACACAAGGACTTTGCGACAAAAGTGTGCCAAACTGCACTAGGACTCAGAAGAAGTAAAAGTCAGAGCGGAACTCCACCTGCAAAGTCAAAGCTGTAGTTTGCCCCAGGCCAGCCAGCTTTTTACAAGCACCATCCCCATAACATGTCCTCCCTTCAGACGGCTCCAGGGCTACTTTGGTCCTCTCCAAGGCTACACAGGGCAGTTTGCACTGGTGTGCATATGCTCTCTCCCCTACACCGTGATATTTTGCCCATTTTGAGCGTAGCTTGGAGTAATTCTTCAGAGCCGCAACATGGCTATCGTTCCTTCCAAGCTTCCTTGATGCATGCATCTCAAACATGGCTGTCCATAACCATCCCAAACTGCTGCTGAGTTTCTAGGACTCGCAAAAATCCAAAGGAATAATTCAGAGCCTATTTTTCTACATCGCTAGGACCTGGGCAAAGAGGTGTGAGAAAGCGGAGCGCAGACGGCAAACGGAGAGACTGCGTGATCCAGGTGCCACAAAGCACCATCCTTCCAGTGGGGCATCTCCGGGATAAAACAGCCAGAGAGCAGCTCTGGCCATGGAGATCTGCTGCCCAGGAGGGCAGGGAGCTCATGTGGCTGCAGTTTCATCCCAGAGCCAGACTGGAGCAGCCACAGCCACGCCAGGCCCCACTCCAGGAAGGGACACGCGTGTCTCGCACAGAGCTGCTCACACGCCGTGGGCCGGCCCCATCCCACGCGTGGGCAGCAGGGCCACAGGAGCAGCCACCTGCTCCCCAGCGCAGAGCGCCGGCTTGTTTGCGCAGAGCATTTGGCGACCGCCCCTGCAGTACTGCACGCAAAACACGCTGAACTGACACTAAAGTGGAATTAAGTGCCAAAGCATTTGCTGCTTCTACAATTACACGCTGGAGCTCTTTGGTGCTCTTCTCTCCTGCGCTCGCTCACACTCTCTCCTTTTTTTCTTTTTTTATGGCCCAACTTGGTCTCATTGTAGGTTTGCTTTCGTGTTTTAAGTTCTCCAAATGGAAAGGATCAAAGGGCTCTTTGTTGTCAGAGCGGGAGCGCTGCACGGAGCGAGCCGGCGCTGCCACGAACAGCTTGCTGCTCAGAGGGAAACCCCGGAGCCTCTGTGCCACCAGCCGGAGCCAAAGCACTAGCAGGTGCAGCCGCCGCCACTGCCTCCTCCTCCTCCCTATTAGCCAGCAACACTAAGCCACCTGAGCGGCTTTTTTATGGGAGAGGGAGGCCAGGGCAGGTTTTCTCATTTAGGCTTCACAAATCTGGCTCAGTGGGCACCAGCAAATCCAGCCTTCGCTGGGCTCCTGCGGCAACAAAGAGCTCGCGCCGGCGGCCCCACCGACAGCGCGTCGCGGCCGGAGACGCCTCCGCAGCTGAAAGGTCTCTCTGTTTCTCTGAAAGGTTTCTTTGCCGCAGCAAGATGCAACCTCTCGTGTGAGGCTGGGGCGGCTCTCCTGCCTAATGCTGCTGCTTGGCCTCCTGGATTTCCGGCATTTATCCTGGCCACAAAAGACACCTCTTGACCCGAACGCACGCTCTGCTCCCACGCAGC